AAAAAAAAAAAAAAAAAAAAAAAAAAAAGTGGTCAAGGGGAAATACAGAAATACAGCCCTTGCTATAAATTTTACTGTACTGGGTTCATCCTGTGTAGCCCTAAAGAACTGTTACTAAAATAACTGCTAGAATAAATCACTTGAAAACAGGGCCAGAGGTGTCTTTCTCATCTGTATTTCTCAAATCCATATAGAACCGGGGTCACAGCAGATTCCCATTTTTCAACCAAGCAGCTGAGGGTTACCTTAGAAGCTGCATGCATATACATACATCTATGACAAGCATGAGGCATGGTAGCATCTTAAATGATTGATCATATGGTTCAGTGAAAAACTTTTTTCTTCCCCAGGCTACTTATTTCAAATTCAGGACAGAGTATATGGAACACAGAAATATGAACAGTGGATCGTTGCAATTCATAAAGAATGCAGAGTGTTTCAGTTGCCAGACAAAGAAGAAGAGAGTAGGATTTGTAAAGCGATGTATTTGTACACTTCACATTTGCGGGTATGTTATTTATTTTGAAAAGATGTTTTAGTTATAGCATCTCCTGGCAGCTGAGAGAATATCAGCTTCTCATTCTATTACCAAGTGCTCACTTAGGAACTTTTCAATGGGTCCTGTTGTAATTTTCTGAAGCATGTGCTTTCTTACTTTTGGTAAATTATATGCTCAGAAACCCAAGGCCTGTAATTAACTAAGTCTGTAGTAACTACTCTTCTTATTATGCCATTGAAAATAGTTAAAAATGTATTCAATTAGCATGTATTTGTCTTAATTGAATTTCAATGTATGTCATCAGTGCCATCATTCCGAGGGATGTATTTAATTTAATGATGACTTTAGAAATTAAGTTGAATGGCATAATTATACAGATTAATGGTAGATGTTCAGCTGCTTTGTTACTGCTTTTTATGACATATGATTTTCATGTAGTTTTCTCATTTACATGGTATAATTCTAAAATCCAAAATGATTCTCATTAATGTTTATAGCTAATTGAGATTTTTAAAAAGAGTATTATATAGCTCAAAAGTTTTATTGTAGTACCGATAGGGCTGTCCATCTTAAAAAACTCAATTGGAATAGACTTGGAAATTCTCTTTAAACTAATAACCTTATCAAGTACAGCTAATTAAACTTCAGTGCAGCATATGTGTTAGATGTTGGAAACATACTGAAACTCAGTTTTTATTTAAACAGAAATATAATGATGCCCTTATTATCAGTGAAGATGCACAAATGAAAGACGCTTTGGATTACTTGAAGGATTTCTTCAACAATGTCCGAGCAGCGGCATTTGATGAGATTGAACAAGATCTTACTCGGAGGTTTGAAGGTAAGGGATGTTTTTAGAACAGGAACCACTGGAGTCATGGGTTTAGGAAGATACAAAGAAGGGCTGGGGATTTAGCTCAGTGGTTCTGCCACCTGCCTCACAAGTGCAAGAACCCAAATTCAATCCCTGGTACCCCCCCAAAAGATACAAAGAGTAGATCAGTGAGTGTGTACAGATTCCAGGGAGCAGCTGTGTAGTCCAAACCAACACAACTGCAGGCAGATCTGCCCTGGCCCCAGAGGCTCCAAGCCTGCCCAGACTAAGCCCACCCAGGAAAGAGCTGCAGGGACCCGAACCAAGGATCCCAGCCAGGGATCCACCCTGACCCCAGAGGCTGGGGCAAACCTGCCCATACAAGGCCCTCCCAGGAAAGAGCTGCACAGGCACACAAGCTTCAATCAGAGACCTGGCCCTTAGCATCGGTGGTTTGCAGCAAGGAATTGGTGTACTGGTGAGTAGAAGAGAAAAGGCATCTTGGTGGCTTGGTGAGAATTGAAGACCACTGGGTGAGCAAAATGTTGTCTCAATAAAGGCACAGCAGACTGCATCTGTTGAAATGACAAGACATATACACAAGTCCCAAAACCAGACTTCCAGATCACCTAAAGCAACCCCAAAGGGAAATGAGATAGAACACTCTGATACTCAACCACCTGGACTCCCAGAACTGGCAACAAAAGAGATCTGGAAAAAATGAAATCAGAAATAATTTCTCAGATAACAGCAGAGATTGTGCCCATAGTATAAGACATGATTAATAAATCTAGAGCAGACACAGATTAAAAAAAAAAAAATTAGAGGAGCTGAGAAACATGATGGAATCCCAACACAGGAGACAAATAGAATCCATAAAACAGATACAGATTTCCAGGAGATTAAAATCTCCATGCAGCAGAACAAGACAATGCAAGTACAGAATTTCAGATATAGAAGATAGGATTGCAATTAGTGACCACGAGAAGAAAAAAATAGTAAGGGAGGGACCATGACAGATCAATTCAGCAGCTGCTAGATGATTCAAAGAATAACATAAGAATGATTGGAGTCAGTGAAGAAACAGGACAGAGTGCAGATGACATAAAAAAACTGTTCACTGAAATAATGGCAGAAAATTTCCCAGATAGGGGGAAAGAACCTGACATAGATAAAGGAGACTTACAGATAAATGAGGCTTATAACTGTGATTTTAAAAAATCCACACATAGGTATATAATAGTTAAAATTCCAGAAACGCAACAGAAGAACAAAATTCTACAAGCAGTTAGAGAAAAGAAACAAACCATATACAAATGAAAACCCATAAGAATCACAGCAGACTTATCAAAACAAACCCACAAGGGAAGAAGATCATGGATTGATGTATTTCAAGCCCTAAAGGAAAACAACCTCCAACCCGTATTGACGTACCCTGCAAAAATATCTTTTATAATTGATGGAGAAATAAGATACTTTCATGACAAAGAGCTCTTTAGGAACTTCATGAATACTAAACCAGCACTCTAGAACATTTTAAACAATATCCTAGTAAAAGACAATGAGGATCACAACCCCAGTAAGCCCAGCAGCATGAATCCATCAGGAATGATAGATTTGCATTTAAGACATTAAATGCAAAGGGGGAGAATCAAACAAAAAAAGTCATGACAAGGTTAAGTCAATACATATCAGTTATAAACATTAATGTTAATGGCCTCAATTCACTAATGAAAAGAAACAGACTCGAAGAATGGGTCAAGAAGCAAGATCCAAGAAACACAATTCAAAAATAAACTTATAGACTGAAAATTAAAGGGTAGAAAACAATACTCCATGCAATAGGAAACCAAAAAAAAGCAGGAGTAGCTATCCTCTTTGTAGATCAAGTGGATTTCAGACCAACTCTGATTAAGAGACAAAGAAGGATACTACATCCTTGTAAAGCGAACAATCCAAGAGGAAGAGATGACAATCATAAATATATATGCACCAAACGTGTGCCCATCTATATAAAACAAATACTAATGGACATGAAAAATCATATAAGCACTAATACCTTAGTATTGGGAGACCTCAATACTTCACTAACACAAATAAATAGCTCAACCAGACAAAAAAAACAGTGAAATAGTAGAACTCAATCAAACTTTTGAACAATTCAACATAACATGTTTACAGAGTATTCCACCCCACAAAATTAGAATACCACATTCTTTTCAGCTGTACATGGATTGCTCTCCAAAATAGACTACATACTTATAGAACATTTCTAAAGATTTGAAGTTACCCCCTGTATATTATCAGACAATAATGCAGTAAAATTGGAGATCAGTAGCAAAAGAAACCACAAGAATTTCATAAATACATGGAAATTGAACAACACACTTCTGAATAACCAATGGGTCACAGAGGAAATTAAAGAAGAAATCAGACAGTTCCTACAATTACATGACAATGACAATACAACATACTGGAATCTATGGGACACAATAAAAGCAGTCTTATAAGGAAAATTTATAGCAGTGAATACTCATAATAGGAAACAGAATGAGCTCAATTACACAACCTGATGCTGAACCTCAAGCTTCTAGAAAAAAGAGCAGGTCAAACTCAAAGTAAGGGAGGAAATTATAAAGATTAGGGCAGAAATTAATGCAATGGAGACTAAGAGAACAATACAAAAACTCAGTGAAGCCAAGAGTTGGTTCTTCAAAAAGATAAACAAAATTGACAAACCCTTAACCAACCTTATCAAAAAAGGAAAGAAAAGGCCCAAATCCATGCAGTTATGAATGAAATGGGTGAAATTACAACTGACCCAGCAGAAATCCAGAGGATCATCTGTACCTACTTAGAGAACCTATAAACCAACAAGATGGAAAATACAGAAGAAATGGACAGATTTCTATGAATTACCAAAGTTGAATGAAGATTACCTAAAAATTCTAAACAACCCAATATCAGACGAGATTGGGCATGTTCAGTGTCATATGGCTGTAGACTACACAACCCAGTATCAAGCAATTAAATTGAAAACATAATAAAAACTTACCAACTAAGAAAAGTCCAGGTCCTGATGGCTTCACTGCTAAATTTTACAAGACATTTAGAAAGGAACCACTGCCACTACTTTTTAAACTTTTCAATGAAATTGAAAGGGAAGCAATACTCCCAAATTCATTTCTGGAAGCAAGTATCACCTTGATCCCCAAAGCAGAGAAAGACCCAACCAAAAAAGAGAACTATTGGCCAATCTCACTAATGGACTTAGGTGCAAAAATCTTTAATAAGATACTTGCAAATAGAATGCAAGACATCATTAAGAAGATCATACATCCTGACCAAGTGGAATTCATTCCAGGGATGCAGGGGTGGTTCAACATATGCAAGTTAATAAATGTAGTACACTATATTAATAGAGCCAAGGACAAAAACCATATGATCATCTCAATAGATGCAGAAAAAGCATTTGACAAAATCCAACATACATTTATGATAAAAACCCTCCAAAAATTGGAATAGATGGTCTCTACATCAATTTGATAGAAGCCATCTATGAAAAACCAACAGCCAATATCATACTAAATGGTCAAAAACTGAAATTCTTCTCACTAAAATCAGGAACAAGACAAGAATGTTCATTATCACCACTCTTGTTCAACATAATTTTGGAAACATTAGCCACAAAAATTAGACAAGAAAAAGAAATAAAAGGAATAAAATAGGAAATGAAGAAGTCAAATTGGCATTATTTGCAGATGACATGATACTGTATTTAGAAGACCCCAAGAACTGCACCTAAAGTCTTCTAGACTTAATAATGAAATTCAGCAAAGTAGCTATTTACAAGGTCAACACAAAAATCAATAGTTTTCCTGTATATGAAAAACAGACTCATTGAGAGAGAAGTGGGGCAATTTCTTTCACAATAGCATCCAAAAAATTGAAATACCTAGGAATCCACCTAATGAAAAAAATCAAAGATGTCTACTATGAAAACTACAGCACTCTGAAAAAAGAGATTGAAGAGGATATCAGAAAATGGAAAAACATCCCTCGCTTCTGGGTAGGAAGAATCAACATAGTGAAAATGGCCATCCTTCCAAAACTGCTATATAGATTAAATGCAATCCTAACTGAAATCCCAGTAGCCTACTTCACAGACATTGAGAAAACAATCCAAAAATTCATTTGGAAGAAGAAGAAGAGACTTAGAATAGTAAAAGCAATTCTAGGCAATAAAGACAAGGTAGGGAGTATCACAATCCTCAACTTGAAACTATACTACAGAGCCACTGTGATAAAAACAACATGGTATTGGCAAAGAAACAGACCTGAGGACCAGTGGAACAGATTAGAAAATGCAGAAACAAGTCCGGACACACTCAGCCATGTCATCTTTGACAAAGAAGCCAAATACCCTCACTGGAGGAAAGATAGCCTCTTTCATAAACGGTGTGGGAAAAACTGGGTTTCAACTTGCCAAAGATTAAAATTAGACCTATCTCTCACCATGCACTAAAATAAAATCATAATGGATTAAAGATCTAAATATTAAAACAGAAACACTAAACACCTGGAAAAGAGGTTAGGCAGAACTCTTGAAGACACTGGTGTAGGAAAAGATTTTATGAACAAAACCTCAGTTGCCCATGAACTAGCACAGTCAATCAACAAGTGGGATTTTTTTCTTATTAAAAAGCTTCTGTACAGCAAGAGAAACAACCAACAGTGTGAAGAGACAACCCAAAAGGTGGGAAAAAGTTTTCACCAGCTCTTCCTAGATAGTAGACAAAGGTCTACTATCTAGAATATATAAAGAACTTAAAAGAATCAGACCTCCCAAATTTAAAGACCCAGTCCACAAATGGGCATCTGAAATGAACAGACATTTCTCAGACAAAGAAGTAGAAACAGCAAATAAACACGTGCAAACTGTTCTACATCAGTGGTCATTTGAAAGATGCAAATAAAGACACTGAGATTCCACCTCACCCCAGAAATAATGGCTGCTATCATGAAATCAACCAATGACAAATGCTGGTGGGGATGTGGTGATAGAGGAACCTAGCTCCACTGCTGGTGGGAGTGTAGACTGATGCAACTACTGTGGAAATCAGTATGGAGATAACTTAAAAGTCTAGGATTGGAACTCCCATTTCACTCTGCTATCCCCCTGCTGGGTATCTTTCCCAAAGAATTAAAAGAATAATACCACAATAATATATGTGCACCCATGTTCACAGCAGAACAATTCGTGATAGCTAAAGCTTGGAAGCAGCCCAATTGCCCATCAACTGGAGACTGGATAAAGAAAATGTGTTGTTTTTTTTAATAAAATGGAGTACTATTCATCCATAAAGATTGAGAAACTAGAGACATTTATAGTTAAGTGGATGCACATTGAGGTGATCCTCTTTAAGTGAAATAAATAGGACATATATGTGTAAGTACCTAATAGTTTCTCTAGTGTGAGAAACTGAAATTGTAAGGACTAGAAGGTATAAGAGATAATTTGAAATAGGAAGAAAAGGTGCAAAGCAGAAGGGAAATTGGAGAGGTAGGGGAAAATAAAGAAGGGAATGGAATTAACATGAGAAAAAGAAAAAATGGAAACAGTCTTTGTAGAGAGGGAGGGATGGAGGGGTTGAAGGGAGAGCAGGGGAATGGGGAAAAATTAAGAACCACAATGAATTATGTAAAGGTTCAAATTTTCAGTGATGAATGTCATTACATTGTATACCTTAAATGTACCAATAAAATTAATTAAAAAAAGAGTAAACCAAAATGACCCATTGTCCTATTGTCCTGATATTATTAGCAAAAATACAGAAAGGTATTAAATGAAAAGTAAGTTTTCCTCCTCTTTCTCTTCAATTCTTTTTCCTAAAGTAAGCATGTTAATTTTTTTTTTTTTTGTTCTATAACAAAGTACTTGATGTACGTATATGTAACCAGTGATATGCTGTGCTGGTAAACATTTAACAAACAATTCTCTGGGAATATGTATATATGCATAAAAGTACTATAAATTTTATTGATTTTGTTGAGGACAAATTTTTTGAGGATAAATCCTATAGTACACCACTTACAAATAATAGTAAGTACAATATTATTTATTGTAAATGCTGTATAATTAACTTTATAGAGTGCTTTACTGATTTTGCAGAACACTTCTATCCATAGCTAATCAGTGATTGCAATGAACAAAGAAGTGTAGTTCTGAGATGAATGTCAGTGTATATTTTCGTTAATGTCAAGAGTAAGGTGAAAATGAAACAACAGAGATGTATGTTAAAGTTTTACTTGTCTGTAAATGAGGTGAGCAAGTTTTTTTTGTTTTTGTTTTTTTTGTTTTTTTTTGCTAAATTGGATAATAGTTTTTCAATTACCTGTAGATTACTTTTCTCTTTTTGATTGATTTTCAAAACTTAATGGTTAAGTTTGATCTGGATTATTTTCTCATATAAATCTAGGCTGTCTATATATCATAGATAAAATACTGATTTTTAGTATTTTCTCAATTTTCTTGGTATAAATACTTTCATTATAATCAATTTCAGGCCACTAATATCATGCTATTAAACTATTGCAAAGAGATGAACAGTGACTCATGATTCTATAATATTTCTGCCATACAAATATAAGTGATATAAATAAGAAAATAGATAATAGTAAAAAGTAATAAAATAATTAGGACATTATAAGTGTGCACTATTTATTATTTATTTTTGATATGTCATTGAGTTGAAATTTATATACTTGAATTTTTAAGAGTGATTGTATTTAAAACTGGTACAAATAACTCAAATTTCACAGTTGTTCATTATCACTAGTCTGGTATGTTCTGGCTCAAGCACACCACTGAGAGATATCTATCTATATCTATATCTATCTATCTATATCTCTGTATATAGAGAAAGAAAGTTTATGAACTTAACTGATTTCGTGATTTTTGGGGAGGATGGCTGTGTTTGTGTTTGTGTTTGTGTGGGGAAGATAGCTATGGTCCCGTTTGTCACGCAATGACGAGTTTGTGAATGGAAGCAAAATCTTACTATGCTTTTGTTTGTGAACCAAGTTGTTTGCAAACAGAAGCATTCATGAACCAAGGTATTACTGTGTGTGATTAACTAGAGATACTGTCTTGTACATTGTTTTTTTAACTTAAAATATGTTTGAGATCTTTCTATATCAGCATATACATTACTCCCTTATTATTTTTAACAACCACACTATAGTAAGGACAAATATATGTCTGCTGAACTGTTTCCATTTGCTGGGCATTTAGGTCATTTTCTATTTTTCTTTTATCTTCTAAACCATAGTAGTGTGGATATCTCTTTTGTAGTTTTATAAATATATCTCAAATTCTTAAATATAAAATCTACATGATCAAAGGATTCATTAGCTTTATGTTTTGATAAATATTGCCAAATTTCCCTCTAAAAAGATTATACCAATTTAAAGTGGTAGTTATTGCTCAGAAAATTCTGGCCAAAGATTGATAATTAATTGTTGGAATTAAGGAACACAGTGCATTCCACATTTTTAGAATTTATAAGCCATTTGTAACGTGTTGCTCATTTACAGAAAAGTTGCCGGAACTAGAAAATGTTTCCATGGATCCCAGCAATGAGAATCCTAAACTCAAAGACCTCCACTTAATCTTACAAGAGGAATACCATGTAAATGCAGAGACAAGAACCATTCTTTTTGTGAAAACCAGGGCGCTTGTGGATGTAAGCTTCTCATTTTTCTTTTCCCCCGTGTGGATAGTAAATTGACGTAGCACCATTTATTTCAGATTACTCTTCACTCTCTGCAATCAAAGCGTTCATACATGTGTGGGACTATTCCTGGGTTCTCTGTTCTGTTTTATTTACTTTTTATTCTTACACTAATTTCTCACTGTTTTAATCACTTCAGATTGTAAATCTTGATACCTGTAGGATAAATGTTTCATCCTTTTATGAATTTTAGTCAAATTGTTATTTTTAATTTTTAAAAGTTTTTATCAATGCATGTTTGCAGTACATAATGATTACATTTGTCACGTGGAGTTGATATATTTACATATCTTAATTCTTTAATTCTTCCCTCCCCTCTCTGTACCCTCCTTCTATCTCTTGGTTGCCTATTTACAAAGGATTTATCTTTTTTATTTCCTATTACTATCTTTTATTGTGCTTTTTAAATTTTGTATACTTTGGGCTTTTCACATAAGAGAAACCATGAAATATTTAAGCTTGTGTGTCTGATTTGTTTCACTTAACATTATGGTCTCAAGGTGCATCCATTTTCATACAAATGATTCAAATTCATCCTTTTTTATGGCAGAGTAGTATTTCATTGTATATAAATACAATATTTTCTTTGTCTATTCATCTGTTGAGGGACATATTTAGCTATTATGAGTTGTGCTGCTATAAACATGAGTATGCATGTATCATTGTAATATAGTGTGTCTACCATTTTTAGGAAGATACCTAGAAGGTTGAATGGAGTTTCTATTTTTAGCTTTTTGAGGAATCTCCATACTCCTATTCATAGTGATTGTACGAGTTTACATTCCCACCAACAATATAGAAGAGTTCCTGTTTCTCTGCAGCCTTGCCAGCATGTGTTATTATTTGACTTATTGATAATAGCCATTCTTTCTCGAGTAAGGTGAAGGTGCATTATTGTTTAATGTGTTCCTCTAATGGAAAGAGATGTAGAATTTTTTTAATGTATTTAGTGGCCATTTATACTTCTGAGAAGTATTTGTTCATTTTAGATGCCCACTTTTTATTAGGTCTTTTGTTTTGAAAATCTAATTATTTGAGTTCTTTATAAATTCTAGATATTATCCCTCTGGCCAAGGAGTTATAGCTTGCAAAGATTTTTTTCTATTCTGTACATTTTCTTTTTACTCTCTTGTTTTTTCCTTTGCTGTGCAGAAACTTTTTAATTTGATATAAGCCCATTTGTTGACACTTGTGCAACTGAGATTCTGTTCAGGAAGTCTGTGTGTTTAAAAGTTTTATCTTCCAGTGGATTGTTTCTAACATTTAGTTCTTTGATCCATTTTTGTTTTAGTTTGGTATGTAGTGAGATATATAGGTGTAAATTCAATCTTCTACATATGGACAGTCAGTTTTTTGGCTCCTTGTTAAAGATCAGATAGCTGAATGTACTTGGGGTTGTTTTGAGTCTTTTATTCTGTTCCACTGATTCATCTGCCTGTTTTTATGCCAATACCATGCTGTTCTTTTTGTTTTTAATCACTGTAGCTTTGTAATACAACTTGAAATTCTGGATAGTGATGTTTCTCACTTTGCTTTTATTGCCCAGGATTGGTTTTGGTATTCTGGGTCTCTTCTTGTTCTATATCTGTTGTTTTTTATAATTCTGGGAGGAGTGCTGTTGGTATTTTGATTGAGGCTATATTAAATTTATAGATTAGTTTTGGTAGTATGGCCGTTGTTACAGTATTGGTTCTGCCTATCTGGAACGGGTATCTTTTTATTTTCTGATTTATTCTTCAGTCTTCTTTTTTCAGAGTGCTGTAGTTTTTGTTGTAGAAGTCTTTCACTTCTTTGGCTAGGTTAATTCTTAGGTATTCAATTTTTCTTGAAACTACTGTGAATGGTACTGTTTTACTAATTTCTTTCCTGGTGGGTTTGTTATTGATATATACAAACACTTTTAACTTTTGTGTATTGATTTTGTACCTTCTACCTTACTGACTTTGTTTGTTACCTCTAGGAGTCTTTTGGTGGAATTTTTTGGGTCTTCTGTGTAAAAGACCCTGTCTGTGAATAGTTTGATTTCTTCCTTTCCTACAAGTACCTATTTTATTTCTCTTACATGATTGCTCTGACTAAAGTCTTGAGTACTATATTGAACAAAAGTGGTGATAGTAGATATCCTTGTCTTTTTCTTGATTTTTGAGGAAAAAATTTTAGGTTTAGGTTTTCCGCATTTAATATAATATTGGCAGTAGATTTGTCATAGAAGTCTTTTATCAGGCTGAGAGAAAGTCTTTATTTTTAGGCTTTTTATCATGAATAAATGTTGCTTTTTGTCATGGGCTTTTTCTGTGTCTATTGAGATGATCACATGCTTTTTGTCTTTGTTTCTATTTATGTGATGTATTACATTTATTGATTTGTGTGTATATATTATTCTTTTGGTACTGGGGATGGAACTTAGGACCTTGCGCTCGAGGGACAGGCGGCTGATTTGTGTATGTGGAACCATCCTTGCACCCCTACTTAGGGTGACGAAGCCTGCTTAGTCTATGTATGAACTTTTGAGTGATTTGTTGCATTGTTTGCTAGTATTTTATGAAGTGCTTTGCATCTATGTCTGTCAAAGAGATTGGCCTGTGTTATTCTTTTTTAGTTGAGTCCTTATCTGATTTTGGAATCAAGGTAATGCTAGCTTTCAGGAAGACTGGGAGTACTCCTTCCCTTTCAATTTCATTAAAGAGTTTAAGAAGTATTGGCATTACGTCTTCCCTGAAGTTCTTGTAGCATTCAGCAGTGAGTGCATCCAGACCTGGGCTTTTCTTAGTTGACACTTTTTTTTTTTT